GCAAAAGTAGACTTACAAATGGCGTATGTGGGGAAGAACAACGCGAAGGAACGCGTCAGGAAACTGACAATCATGATCGGAGACAACAAACTGAGCCATTGCTGGCCAGACTCCACATTGGTGTGGTTCTTCTGGGCCCGATTGGAGAGCATGATGTACTCAAAGCTGAAATACGGGAAAACAGTCGAAAACGACCAAATAATGCAGGAGATAATGACATTGCTGAGCTTCGACGGGAGTGACAAAGGATGGGCGATTTTCTTCGGAAGAGGAGGGGAGATGACGAGAGCGAAAGGGGAAACTGCGCTGAGCTGCATATTGGCATTCGACAAGTGGAAGGAAGAGGCGGAGGAGAGGGGTTTCTTGAGGGCATTGGCGGAGTATCTGCAGCAGCTGCGAACCCCACATCACTGCAACCGCCTGATTCTGCCGGGGGTGGCCGGAAACATACCGGAGAATGTGGTGTGTGCAGAGTGTGGGCGGGCCATGGAGAAGTACCTCATGTACCGATGCTGCGTTGAATAAATTAACCCCCAAATCAAGAATTCGGTATCCTAATTCCTAATTCTGTAATCTGTGATTCTATTCTCTTTTAGTTTTTTGTTTTGGGGATGTTTGATTGGAACCGTTTTGTTGTAAAAGAGAATTATCTTTTAGTTGTGTGATGTAACTTATTACTTGACTTGTGCCAATAAACCATACTAAAGTTTTACTTTCTCTCTCCCTCTCATGTTCCATTCTGTCTACCAACATTAAGAGAATATTTTGCATATTATTTTTATTTTTAGGGATAGTGAATCCTCCATCCGACCTAATTTTGTTTCCAATCCTAATTATATTATTTTAAAGGAAAAGTTTCAAAACCTTACCTTTTTAGCCTTTCAGATTTGASATAAGCGTCCCTAGCTTTTTAATCCTTCGATTTATTTCATAAGTTTCAAAATCGTACATTTTTAATCTTTGAGATTTTAATAATTTAATTTCTTTTAATTCATAGACTACTGAAGTAAACTAAGTCAGCTCGTGTGTGAATTTCAAATAAATTTGAAATTTGAAAGTTTAGAATATTTACAAAATTAAAATTAAAAATAAACTTCAAATCTCTCCCCCTCGCCGTGTCTCTCTCCTTTTTGGTGCATAATTTTAAATAATATTTTACCTCATCAATATTTAATTTAAAGAATAAATGAAGCATTATTAAAATTTCAAAAACAACAAAGGTAAGCCTTTACAACTTCGGACTAAATAAAAATTAAATTATCTCAAATCTCATAGATAAAAATGGTAAGATTTTGAAATTTAAAGGCTAAATAGAAATTCATCTCAAATATTTTTCAATTTTAGATTTCTAAAAAGTTGTACTATTTTCTAATTTCTTGCTACTATTTGATAATATTTGTATTTTAACATACATATCAATTCATGTACATAATTTTACAAAATTACATATATTTACATAATATGAAAACTATAAATTGTCAAAAAAAAAAAAACTAATAAAAGTAGTCAGCCGCCTTCAAAAGGAAAAAGTGGCAATGAAATTCACGTTCTAGAATTTCATCTCAATTATTACCCTTTTTTAGTTTTTTTTTTTCTTTTTGTAAAATAAGGAGACTTTGACTTCTTTTTTTTTTTCTTTTGAAACTCAAAATAGTAAGGAGACTCTGACAATTGACTGTCACAAAACAAAAAACAAAACCAAACTTCATAACTTGTGGAGTGGTTTCGCAGAATTTTGAGACCTATGGAATACAAACTACTTATCAAGAACGTGTGGTGACAAAAAATTCCATAACCCCAAAAAAAATCCCAACAATTTGAATTAAATCATGAATGGAAATATTAAGTGATTTTTTATTAAATCAATTTGGATTTAATCAAATCAACTTAGAATAAATGCACCAAATAATAATAATAATAATTAACTTTAAATTCTTTTAAAGACATTGTGAGTTTTTACAAATAAAAGAAAGTTGAAACACATCTTTGATTCTAAAATTTGAGTTTAGTGTCTATGTCGTTTTTGTTTTTTTTTTTTTTGATAACCTAGGAGTCGACAGCCCTTTGGTCTGGTAGAGTTCCATTCCATGTGATTTAAACCGAAGACCTCAAGGATATTCCTTGAGGAGTCATCCCTTGAGAACAGTGTCTATTTAGTCCTTGAACTTTCGAAAATCACACTTTTAGTACTAGCGATTTGAGTTTGGTGTCTATTTAATCATTACACTTTGAAAATAGATACTTTAGTCCTTGAGGTTTGAAAAATATGATTCCTGAATTAAATTGACCGTTAGTTAACTGACGAAGAATTGACTTGACATTATTGACACGACAATTTTTAAATGAAGACTCTCTGTTTAATTTATTTTAGTTAACTCACGATCAACTTAATTCAATGATCATTTAGAACTATTTTTCAAACTTTAGAACAAAGAGGGTCCATTTTCAGAATTTTGAACTAAATAGATATCAAATTCAAACATATTTTGCTCCAGAGAGCTCAAATTCATTGTCAATCAAAATGAAATTATTATAGTTTTCTTTTGAAAAGTAGATAAAATAAAGTTAAACTTAAAACAAAATCTTTTTTAATCTCATCCTAAAAGTTAATCTAAGAAATAAAACTTATCCGTCTCCATGAACGCAATTTATCTTATTGAGAATATGTCTCATCGCATTCTAACATCTTCGTTGGTGTGAAAGATTTCATACCAAATCCTTAGCCAAGATCAATCTGATTCTACCCAAATTTATAGCTTACTTGATAGAGTCTTTTTGGAAAAACTATTCAAAATGAGACCATCACAATATACTTATAGCTATTATAATCCATTATATGCATAATTAAAATGTATTTTATATTTTTCTTTCACTTATCTAACGATTATTAATAAAGCATGATATTGTATCATATATATTAAATAATATATTCTGTGGAAATTCAACAATATGTCCCTACATGCACAATCACCAAAAAAAAATATATTTGAAAATTACAAAAAATTTTACTTGCATTAAATCAATAAAAGTTATATCCATGCCTTCTTTTTTTCCACATCTCTTTTTTTTCTTTTAGCCGTTTTTGTTGGGTTTATAAAGTGAATGTAAACAAAGTCTAACTAGAGAAGAGCATAATCTATGATATACATAGACAATTATCTCTATTGATACGAGACATTTTTAGTGAAACCAAAATCAAAGCAATCATAATAGTCCACTAATTCATAATCTATTTTTTAATTATTCAATTGCTTTTAACATTGATTGTGAATCTTACTCTTACGATCAATTCGTGCACCAAGGGCTTAAGTCATTATTTCCCTTCCAATACTCAAACTGTGATAGTTAGCATAAAGTCCAAAAGACACACCTAAAATTGAGAATGAAGTGATATTTAAAACTTTTCTTTAATGGAAGAAAATTAATGAATTACAGGAAAAGACATTGTTAAATTACCAAATTAATATTTCTAATTTGGTTTTACTTTTAATCTACTCTTTTAATTTTTGAAAGTTTTAATTTGACATAACATTGGACACTCGTTTCAATTAGACTCTTATGATTTAGTTAGACTTTACAAATGAACTCTAAATAATATTTACTCTTCTAAAAACTCACTCATTTTACTCAACCCTAAATTCTTATATAGTTACTTAATACCAACCTTTTGCTATGTAAACGAAAAACATCACATAATATGGTGACAGCTTGTAACATTGCAACAATAAGATCAATTTCTAGATTTAAAATTGTTATAAAAAAAATTTTGGACCAATTTATTAATTTACAAAAGGAATCATTAAAATCTTTTTGGACCAATTTGTTAATTTAATAAAAAGTAGAAAGCAATAATGTTTTTTTTCAAAGGTAATTATAATAATGTTGACAGAAAAGACGTAATTGGTGTGGGACCCGTAAACGGTGTCAATTTAAAAGCATTGAAACAATCAAGTTGATCCAACGGCTGATAATAGCTAGAAGACCAGTGCCCCTGGCCCCTCGACTCGTTGACTTGACTCGCCAAGCGAAAGGGACTTTACGTGTATTGACTCGTACACTTCGGAGAAGTTTCGAAGTAATTGAATTAGAAAATAAAAAATAGATAGAAAAAAATATATTTATGAAAGGCGGAGCAGGAGCAGGACTAGGAGCATCTTAAGATCTGTCGTTTGGCACGGGCAGAATAAAAGTCTAATTTAATGGAAATCTTTCGTTCGGTTTCTGATTAGTGAAATTTGGACAATTTTCATATTAAGTATTTAGTAGTTTCATAATAATATTTAAAAGCACAGTTTTGTAGCATTTGATTAGGTAGTTCAAAATTCTAAAAATACTTAAAAATTCTTTTAGTGATTACTATTGAGTAATTAGTAATTACTATTTTTATCTAATACATACTTTAACATTCATGGGGGAGTTTTTTGTTTGTAAGAATATTATTTTTGTTACTAATTAGTAATTGGTTTGATATTCAATATAAATAATTTTTAAACTAGTTCTTTTTAAAAGATTTCTACCTCTAAAAACTGCAAATTCTCTATGAGGATGACGCAGGAGGGTTTCCTTTTTTTCTTTTTAACAATATTATAGTTCAACAAGAGACTGAATGTACTGCTAGTATAACTATTTGTGTGAATAGCCCAGTTTGAATAATCTACCAAACTAATACAGAAACAGATATCTATATTTACATATCATTTAAAAAAAAGATCCACTAGTAAAATAAACACGCTAAATTGATATAGATCAACCAATGGCAGGGATATTGATTTACATCACTCTACTAAACTTTCTTATTCGTTTTATTATAATTTCTAAATTTGTAAATTTAATTATAAAAACATTTCTAGTGGAAGAACAAACACGAACATAACTCAGCAATTAAGTCATCGAGGTTGGGATTGGTGGAGTCAAAACGACGTCGAATTGAGCTAGAGATGAGTCGGGATCGAGCTGAGACGCGTCGGGGTTGAAGCGGGGATGAAAAATAGGGGAACGGGGCACTGCAGGCCACTTGGGCCGAGAAGACAGTGTCTCGGCGCTAGGGGACAGCGTCGCAGCGCTGTCCTCGTGGGAGCGCGGGAGCGAGTTTGCGTCCGTAGCGCCATGGCGTCGGGGACAACGCCATGACACTGTTTTGATGTTTATAAATATTGTTGTTCGAGTTTAGTGTTTTGCAGCCGAAAAAGGGTTATTGTCTAACCGATTGTGAGCCATTTTTCAGACGGTTTCGTGGCAGTTTCAAGAGAGAGGTTCGAACATGGACAGAGGCATTGGGCTCATCAAGATCAACATATTCAGGATAATTAGATCTTGAATTTTGTGAGATTTTCATTCCTATACCTAAATATTAATTGTGTAAAATATTTAGAAGCTAAGAGGCTTTTTGTTGAGACCTCTAGAGAGAGGATATTTTGGGTGTTAGAGATGGTTTTGGATTTATGTATCTTCTTGCCCTAAAATTAGAGTGTATCTCACTGTGAAGTGTGAATAATTAAGTTGAGGAATCAGACCAACTGCGGGCGTCGCGTCTGCGTGGATTAAAATGGGCTCCATCGATCCAATGCGTTCCATTTTTCACTGACACAGCCGCCTATAAAGAAGAAGAACACGTCTAAGTTTACTGCCAATTCTCCCCTGCCTGAAAATTCAATCCTACGCTGCCGGAGAATGCCTAATCCTTCCTCCACACTCCTTCCATTCTTGGCTTTCCTCTCCCTCCTGTTCCAAGTCCATGCCAGATTAAGCCTCGATCCTTCAGATCTCAGAGCCTTCTCTATCATCAACAATGACTTGGGCATCACCCACCTCTCTCACACCCCATGCGACGTCGCCGGTGTGTTCTGCGAGAGGCGGCTCTCCGGCAACGGCACTTATGTTTTGAGGATCACCAGGCTCGTATTCAACGCCAAAGGTCTCGCCGGTTCTCTTTCTCCGGCTATTGGACGCCTCACGGAGTTGAAAGAGCTTACGGTTTCTAACAATCGCCTCGTTGACCAAGTACCGCCCCAAATTGTTGACTGCCGGAAACTTGAAATTCTCGATCTCCAAAACAACCAGTTTTCTGGAAAAGTTCCATCTGGATTGTCCTCGTTGATTCGCCTTCGAGTCATCGATTTCTCGGCGAATAAGTTCTCGGGGAGTTTGGATTTCTTGAAGCAGTTTCCCAACTTGGAAACTCTCTCGATTGCCAACAATTACTTCACCGGGAAAATCCCACCTTCGATTCGTTCCTTCCGCAATCTTCGAGTCTTCAACTTCTCTGGAAATCGCTTTCTCGAAGCTGGTTCAGCCCCCATCGTGAAAGGCGTCGAGTTCTACTCAGCAACCGAAGTTCCCAAACGCTATAAGTTAGCTGAGAATTCCAGTACCAGTACGAGAGACAAGCAGCACAGTGCCGCCGCCGCCGCCGCTACAGCACCAACTTCTAGTGCTCAAGCTCCATCTCCAGCGGCATCCCTTCCTCATCGACATCGGAAGTATACAGCAAAGAAGATTATTGCTTGGATACTTGGATTCCTCGCTGGAGCAATTGCTGGAAGCTTGTCAGGGTTCGTCTTTTCTCTACTGTTTAAACTCGTCATCGCAGCTATAAAAGGTGGAAGCAAGGATAACGGCCCCTCGATCTTTGCTCCTAAATTAATAAAACGAGAGGATCTGGCTTTTCTAGAGAAAGACGATGCGTTTGCATCGCTGGAGCTGATTGGAAAAGGTGGATGTGGAGAAGTTTACAAGGCCGAGTTACCAGAAAGAAGCGGGAAAATGTTTGCGATAAAGAAGATTACTCAACCCCCAAAGGAAGCGGCGGAGTTAGCTGACGAGGATAGCAGGTTAATGACCAAGAAAATGCGTCAGATTAAGTCAGAGATCAGAACTGTAGGTGAAATCCGGCATCGGAATCTGCTTCCTCTTGTGGCCCATGTCCCCCGTCCTGACTGCCACTACCTTGTCTACGAATTGATGAAGAATGGCAGTTTGCAAGATATGTTGAATCAGGTTTCGTTAGGAATGAGAGAACTAGATTGGCTTACTCGGCATAAGATTGCTCTTGGAGTGGCATCTGGGCTTGAATACCTTCACATGAATCATACCCCTCGTATAATTCACAGGGATCTCAAGCCTGCAAATGTTTTGCTCGACGACGACATGGAAGCTCGAATTGCTGATTTTGGGCTGGCAAAAGCAATGCCAGATGCCCAAACTCACATGACAGCTTCAAATGTTGCAGGTACTGTAGGATACATTGCACCAGAGTATCATCAGACCTTGAAGTTCACAGATAAGTGTGACATATATGGTTATGGGGTTCTCCTAGGTGTTCTGGTGATCGGGAAACTTCCATCCGATGAGTTCTTCCAGGACACAGATGAGATGAGTTTAGTTAAGTGGATGAAGAATGTTATGGCTTCGGATAATCCTAGGAGAGCCATTGATCCGAAGCTCCAGGGAAATGGCTGGGAGGAGCAAATGCTCTTGGCACTCAAAATTGCCTGCTTTTGCACTATGGATAATCCAAAAGAGAGGCCTAACAGTAAGGATGTCAGATGCATGCTGTCACAGATCAAGCACAATCTACCTGAAACTCCCTCTGAGAACGTCTAGAATAATAAATGAATGTAAACGAATGTTATCTGCATTTAAATTCTACTTCCAAAGATGTATGCTGCCAATCTCAGATATCCATATATAGAAATATTTGTGTTTCCTTTCCTCTAATCCCCTGCTTGCATCTTCCAAGGCCCAACCTGACCGTCAATTTTGGAAATGAAAAAACAAGGTCTATAAAAGATGGGGACCATTGCAAACAGGATATCCTAGCAATATGAACCCTGGATAGCATTTTAATGGTCATTCCCTACTGCCATATCGATCATTCCCATTCTGGTGGCTTTTTTTCCCTTTAAAAATCCCCTTGGCATGGCTTTAAGATTTTGAACACTATTTTCTCCCTTTCTATTTTTCTGCTTTTCTATCTTTTATTTTCCCTTTATGAAAGAAAGGCTCATCTTGCTATTATTTACGAATCATCATGATAAACAGACTCGTGCTCATACAAATTCTTTTATTGACCGCTTGCTCCACCTGGAAAAAACTTCTTTTCATGCCGACCTAAGAGAAATGCTTTTACAAATACCATTACAGCTTTTTAACGATCCGGCAAGAGGAATCTAAAACGGACAGGAAGTTCTGAATGCTGAATTTTTAGGAAGCACTATGAACAATATCGTTGAGAAGTTTTATTCACGCCAACACCATGTTGCATTCTCACTATAAAACTAGGAAGAAATTTAATAACTC